GAGGCAGAGTTGCTCTGCCCCGGGCTTCCTGGAATCAGCCGCTGATCAGTTTCAGCAGCAGCTGACTTGGGGACACCTGGGGTAGAGCAGCTGGGGTGCTGCCGGGTTGGTCCAGTTGGTCTGCCTCGGGCTTCGTGTAGTCAGCTGATGGTCAGTTTCAGCAGTGGCTGAATCTGGACGCCAGTTCCGACTTACGTACAAATTCAACTTAAGAACAAACCTACAGTCCCTATCTTGTACGTAACCCGGGGACTGCCTGTACTTAATTCGAACTAGGTGTTAATCCTCGTAGAATGAGGTTTACCTAGTTCAAATTAAGCGCTCTGCTAGTTCGAATTAAGTTCGAACTAGCAATTTGCATGTGTATCGCCTATTAAAGTTAATTCAAAATAACGGCTGTTAGTTCGAATTAACTTTGTAGTGTAGACATACCCTTAGTGAGTTAAATGACGTAAAAGACACAAGGCTTTTTTACAAAGGCATTAGGTTTAATACTCCTGAGGGATCCTGAGAAGTAAGGCCCTTTGGATGTGTGTCTCATTAAGTGAATTTTTCTGTTTGGGTTGGCTGCTGTTTTCTAAAAATAAAAATGTTGAAGAAATGTTCCTGCCAGAGACAACTGCGTTAGAATCCCACATACGGCTCAAGGACTACCCAGCTGTAGTTCTTTTTAAACAATATTTTTAGTTTATATACATGCACCAAAGTTCTGTGGTACAATTGCAAGTGTAACTGAAACTAGGATTAAGAGTAATTTCAAGGTGCTAATCTGGACACACTGTACTGATTTAAATGGAAAAACACACAGTGAATTTAGTTATTCTACCTTAATTGAATAAACATAATCCGTGTATACAGACTTGTGGTTTCTTTCTTTCTTTTTGCACTAGTGTCATAGGAGGTGAGCATTTTAGCTTCTGCAACTTCATCATTCTGCTTGAAAGAAGGAAAAACATTTTAAGCAGGTATATTATAGGCCTTCCTGCAGTGTTATGAACACATACAATTGGCACACATAAACTACAACAAATAAAATATTCAATATAGTGAAATATATTGTATTACAGAGGGACTAAAAGGAAAATATTACAGTATTTAACCTTAAAAGTCACAAGATAATACAAGTTGGATCTCTCTGGTCCAGAACCCTCGGGATCTGACTAGTCCCAGATGAGGGATTTTGCTGGACAAGGGGAGGTAATTTCTGGCCCCCTTGCTGCCGGCCCCACCCCCTGCTCTGCTCCCCCGAGTGAGCTTCCTGGTACCCCTGAGCAGCCCACCTGGGTTGTGTGTTGGGCTTCCTGCCCACCCCTCTCCTCATGTAGCCCAGCTGAACCTACTGCCCACCCCCAGTCAAGCTGAGCTATATACCCAGCTTCCTGGCTCCTGACCTTTCTCCCATGCAGTTCAGCTGAGCCACATCCCAACCTCCACCATATCACACCGGGCTTTCTCCCCCCACCCCGCCCCGCCGCACCGGGGCTCTCCGATTCGGGAACATCTGTGGTACAATGTTGCCAGACCAGAAAGTTCTGGTTTATAGAGGTGCAACCTTTCAATGCCCAAGGGGGAATATGCTTTGGAGCTGAGTCAATTTTTTTGGTATTAGGTTTAGATAATAGCTCTCTGCTCTAGTTAGTACTAGATTTACCCAGTGTTGTGTGGGTCCTTCAGAGAAGGGAGCTGGAGGTGTGGGGTTTTGCAGAAGTCAGGGTTGGAGGGGGGTAAGGGACTCAGGGCAGAAATATGGTACATATAGGAGGCAGGACAGGAAGTTAGGTGTCGGGGAGCTCAGAACAGGGGTGTGCTTTAAGTTATGATATTAAGCAGCTGTATACCGAATCTGGTGGTCCTAACTCTTACTGTTTAGGAGGAATTCTTGAACAAATGGACTAACAGACAGAAGGACACATAGAAAGACAAAGACAGATGCACAAACTCTCAAATATACAGTAGATTAAAATTAATGTTTTCTTTCTTTACACACACACACACACACACACACACACACACACACACAAAGCCAAAAAATTAAGGTTGCAGAGTTAGGTGCTCAAAAGTTCGGATATTCTAGGATTAGGGCTGTCCATACAACCTTAATCTGACTCCCTTGTGCATATGCATTATGGTATAGTCTTCAATTACCTGTTCTCTCTCACCACTTTTTCCACAGGACAGTTTTCACACACAGCAGGAAATGGTTTTTCTTGTGTTATTGGACTCCGTGTCACACCATTTGGCATAGGAGCTTCGCCTACACTGCTAGTTTTGCCGGCAGTGAATATGCAAATGAGGTACAGATTACCATATGGTCATGACTCATTTGCATAATTTATGTAAGCCATTTTTGCGCAAAGGGTTTTTGCAGGAAAAATAGTAGTATGGAAGGGGTTTTTTTTGCAAAAAATCCCCGTTTTCCACAAGATCCTTATGCCCCCCTGGAGCACACAAGTGAGAAGCAAAAAAACTCCTCCACAACCCCCCAACTCTCACTGATGTGGCCCCAACTGAGACACCTCACTCCTCTAGTGCCACAACTTCACGGGGTGAGGGGAAGGAAAGGGGGAAACTGAGGTTCAGGGCTTCCTATAGATCAGATTTACTTTTCCGGGGTTCTGGAGTTTGTGGATTTTATGGACCTCCTTAGGCTCTAGGATAGGAACAAAAATGAGGGTTATAGTGTGTGAGACATGACTGCCAGCAACTAGGATAGGGATGGGGTGCAGGATCTGGGAGGGAGGTGGGGTGCAGAAGCAGGCTGGGAGTAGAGTGTCTGGCCAGGTAGAGGAAGCAGGAACAAGGGAGGGTGCAGTGCCTGGTCAGGACAGAGGGTGAAAGAACAAAGAAGGGTTTCGGAGCAAGCTGCGGGTGCTAGGTATTGGTAGGGGAGAGAAATGACAGGACTTGGGTGGGGTGGGGAGGTCTGGACATGAGGGGGAACCTTACCTAGCTTCATGCTCCCTTGCAGCAATGGCTGCAGCCATGAGGTCCCAGTAGCCCCAGAGGGAGGCCCTGTTGCTGTGGCCAAACAGTCCCGGAGGCCATCCAAGGCTGGCCCTGAGGCACCATGGCCACAGGCCGCTCTGGAGGCCAGAGGTGCTGTTGCTGCAGCCATGCAGCTGACCCCAAAGCACTGTGGACACAGGCCACCTGTGAGGCTGGAGGTACCTCTGCCACAGCCTGGGGCTGGCCTCAGTGGTGCTGCGGCCTGGGGCCGACACTGCTGCAGCTACATGGCTTGGATCACAGAGGTGCCGTGGCTCTGGAGGCACCGCTACCACATGGCCCAGGGTCAGCCCCGGAGGCACCATTACCGTAGTCTTGCAACCCTGGGCTGCCCCCAGAGGCGGCGTGGCAGTGGTGCCTCCAGCCTCTGGAGCTAGCCCGACTACATGGCTGCGGGAGCAGGCCCCTTGCGGGG